TAGGGTTTACTAAAAGAGTTTAAAACTTGCAAAATGGGGTTGGGGTGGGTTTTTTTCTGTTTCTGATCTAAATTGTCTTGAGTTTTTTTTTGTTGTTGTTGTATGTTCACTAGTATGTTTTAATTTTTAAATGAAACATTTCCTTTGTTTTTCCATTTTCGAGAACGATTGGCACATTAAAATTTTGTTGAAATTCAAATGGTTTCAGAAATAATCAAGAAATGGAGATGTTATTAATAAAACAATTTACTACCAATGGAACTGTGTGTTAAAAACCCTAATTTCCCAAATTGGATAATCATTTCTCCTAAAGAAAAATCGACGTCTAGAGGCTTCTTAATGGCGCGGTCAATGCGTTGATGTTTCTACTTAATTGATTTAGTGACGTAAAGTATCAATCTTGGTAATGTTGTTGTAAAAATTCAAATAAACATTGGTATAATGTGGACTAATTAATAGTACTATATATTACTCTAATCATTTCAAACGAGAAATTCACATATGAAAAAATCGAAAGTACAAATTACCGATGAAGTTTCGATTTATATAGTTAGTTATCTGCATATATTGAATTTTAGGGAGTGAGAATGTAAGACCAGAAATGATGACTAAGAAAGATCTTCTCACCTAACCTAATTTTGCTTACATCGTCAAATAACACTTGAGAGAATGTTTTAAATGAATTAAAAATATTTTGTGGGTTGGTAGTTGTTTCACACACAGAAACACGTGTTTATGGTCTATGAATATTTGTAAATAATTATTAAATAAAAAACTTTAATTTATCATATTACAGTATGAATGTAAATTAAACATTAAAGAAAGTTTTTCGATCTTTTTAAAAATTCAAGAAGTAAACAATGAAATTTGAGAAATTTAAAAAAATGCCACTTTTCAAGTGTCACTTTACAAAAATGCCACACTTTTGAAATCTTTACAAAAATGCCACTTTTCAAAATTATTTTTTTTATATTATTTATGTTTGGGTTAATTATGTTCTATTAGGGTTTAGTTATGCGGGTTTAGGGGGTTTTAGGGTCAAAACATTTTTTAGGGTTTAGAATTTTAAGATATAGGTTTTATAAATCTATAATTAGTGGYATTTTTGYAAATKRRCWCYCYTAARTGGCATTCTTGCAAATGTGCACACAAAAAGTGACATTTTTGTAATTGCTCCAAATTTGAGATCTATCTGCCACGGCAAATCCAAAGCAAGCGTTTATTGCTCACTCAGAGCATAATCAATGGTAGTTTATTAATTTAGGATTCTAAATTATTTTTTTATTATCAATTATTTTTTGGGTTCTAAATCTCTAAAATTTGGAGTTCTAAATCTCTAAAATTAAAACCTTTTTACTGGGTTCTAAGCATTTTATGTATTATTTAATTATTTTTAATCTTTTAGAAACCCATTAAAAACCACTAAACATTACCATTAATCATGCTCTAAGAGCTTAGTAAGATAACTTTATATTTGTTTAGCAAAAAAAAAATAT